TTGTTCTCTCTCTTTTCCACCCCTAAGACCTCATTCTAGGGACCACAGTGCCTTCCGCTGTCCTGACCTCAGAGCCAGCCCACCACGGCCCGAACCCGCTGAAGCCAGGTTAGAGGCCTCCTCCTTTAAGCTGCAAGTGTCCAGCAATGGAAAGCTGACTGACAGAGCGGAGCATGCCTGTAATTGCAGCTACTCATGAGGCTGAGGCAGGAAGATCACAAATTCAAGGTCAGCCTGGCAACTCTGTGAGACTCTCTCTCAAAATTTTTTATTTTTTTTTTTGTTGTTGTTTTGTTTTTTTTTTTTGGTCTTTTTGGGACAGGTTCTCACTATGCAGTTCAAGCTGGCTTTGAGCTCACTTTGTAGCCCAGGCTAGTCTTGAACTCACAAGGATCCTCCTGCCTCAGCCTCATGAGTGCTGGGATTACAAGTGTGCACCACCATGCCTGGCACTCAAAACTTTACAAAGAGGGATGGGAGTAGATTTCAGTACAAGGCTCTAGGTTCAATTCCCTGTACGATAAACAATAAAAATAGTAATATTTCACAAATTTAGGAGAGGAGAGGGGTGAAGCTACAATTAGAGAAGAAGACGTTAGCCTGGCATTGTAGTGTGTAGCTGGGCAACTCTGGTTAACAAATACTATAGATTTCAAATCATGCAGAGCTGAGGCCCTTGCGTTCCCCACACAGCAGTGATGACTGCGGCGCTGGTGTGTGTCTTCCTTGACCTGATCCTCACACAAGGCACAGAACTTCACACTGGGCCCGGAACACATGTACAGTGTTATGTACCAATTAGAAATAAAAACAAAACTGACAAAAAGATTGAACAGACTTAGAAAAAAAGTCAGGGTTGCCGAAGGAAGAGGAATAAAATTCATGCCTGGGGGACCAGGCGTGGTGACACATGCCTGTAATCCCAGCACTCTGGGAGGCTGAGGCAGGAGGATCACTTCAGTCCATGGGGACAAGACCACACCCCATCTCAAACAAAGAAAAAAATGACTCTAAATTCTGCAACATGTACCCTGAGAAAATTCACTGGCTTTCCTAGGCTAGGCTTGATCTTGGGATTCTCCTGCCTCAGCCGCGGGGGTGTAACACTGCTGAGGAGCAAGGACCCCGGGCGGGGCCCTCCCTGGGGCAGGAGCGCCTGCCCTTCTCCATGCCCTTCGCTGGCTGTCCTTCCCTGGCAACAACACCCCCCTCCTGCCTGCTCAGCGCCTAGCCCCTCCGCACCCAACGGGACCGGCCTGGGCCCTATCTTCCACCACCCCAAGTTTGGGGGCAGCCTGGGCTACATGGCAGAAAACAGAAACAGGACAAAAAACAAACAAAACACTGCCTCTGCCTCACAGAAGGCCATGAGCGAGGGGCAGGGACGGGAGGAATGCCCCACCCTGCAGGAGCCACCAGCCCTCCTGGCCTCCCGACAGCCGCAAGGAGCCGGAAGGAATTCCCACAGACCCCAAGTGGCCGCCAGCTTCTGAAAACGGTGCAGAAACACACACAAGTCTGATCTTCCCTTCTCCCCCCGCACGCTCTCGTAAATAAGGTTTCGGGATGTGTACGATTTTCCTGCTTTTGTTTGGACTGTGCGGCTTCCATGCAGAGGAGAAACCGCTGCGTGGCCCCCCCCCCCGCCCCCGGTCGCTGTAACCTCACTTCCAACGCGGTCTTTCGAAACCTATTCTGTGATTAAAAATCCAACTGAACTAAGTTTTCCACACCAGCTGCCTTCCTAAAACATCAGCAACTTTAAGCTCTCCAAGCAAACTACAGAAGAAAAGCCAAAAGCAAGACCCTATTTCTGTTCAAATCCAATCGAACCCAATCACTACTTGTATGTCACAGAACACTCACATTCTGGATCTGTTAAAATATCATTAATAGCCAGGTATGGTGGCACACACCTGCAATCCCAGCACTCAGGAGGCTGAGGCAGGAGGATTGCAGTGAGTACAAGGCCAACCCAAGCTACATAGTGAGACCGTGTCTCCAAAAAAAAAAATAATTAAATAGAACTAAAAATGAAATACAATTAACATACAAGCAAGGAGATACAGGAAATGTTTTAAAATACATTTAACAACGGTTACAGAGGCTCACTTCTGACTGCCTGGGAAGCCCAGGATTTGGGGTTGATCACGGTGGTTTGGATTAGTGGACTCAGCTGATAGACACCACTCAGCATCCAACCGCAAAACACACCAAAACACACATGATTGTGATGAATGAGGCCTGCCTCACCACCTTTTAAAGATACCAAAAACAGCTGGGTCAAGGAATGAAAAAGGCCAAAGAGCTTGGTAGCACACGCTTGTCATCTTAGCACTTGGGAGGCTGAGGCAGGAGGATTGCCCTGAGTTCAGGCCAGCCTGGGCTACAGAGAAAGACCCTATTTCAAAGCCCCAGAAGGACAGAAAAATTCATAAGTAAATAAGTAAGGGATAAAAAAGAATTGCATCCTCCAATGGCCAGTTCTGCAGAGAGCAAGGCCTACATGAAGACTTTCTTTTGAGGGTCAAATTTAATGGATGAAGGTCCCCTACACTCTGAAATACAGGCAGACAATGCCATAAGCACTGCTTTGCTTTGAGGCTTCTGAACAGGGACTGCCTTAAAACCCCACAAAGCGAGGGATTACAGCAGTCTCCGAGTCTCCAGGAGCTCAGTAGGTGGGAGCCAAGCCCAGAATTCAGGGAGGAAGCTGGGGCGCAGGGTCCCCGTGATCCCTTCTGCAGTGGGGGAGGGCGGGGCACGCGCTAGGTCAGCGGCAGGGCAGAGTCCCCCGCACCCAGTCCGGGCCACCCGTGGAGACTGCCTGGCCACCTGCAGTGAGTGACCGCTCATGCCAGCCTGTGGGTCAAGGCCAGCAGGTGCCAGCTGTGGTCAGCAAGAAGGGGCACATTCTGCCCACATCTGAGTGGCAAATACAAGCGCCCACCGCAGAGACGAGAAGACAGCCCTGCACAGCGGGAGACGTATCTGTGCAGCAGATAAAGATCAAAGCAGGGTGGGGGCTGACAGCGATTTAAACACATCAGTGACAGTGGCATCCACAGCCGGCCAGCGAGGCGCTTTTCTCACCATAGCAGAAAGACATTCACACCTCTACCCCTCACCTGTTAACTGACCGGCAAAGCTGGGTCTCAGACGACATAGGATGTGAAGCGCGAAGTTACGACCTCCGGCTGGGGGCCCACACCCACACACAGGGCCCAGGTTCAAAAACAAGGAAAGAAAGCTCTCTCAGGGCTTCACAAGGACCCCACGCTGTTGAAAAGTGCACCTGTGACGGAAAAAAATGAGCTTTTGGGGCCAGGTTCCTTTCGAGGGCTGGGATGAGGACCCGGGGCAGTGGCAGTGAGCCTGAGGCACTTGCCGAAAGCCCTAAAAGCTTTGCCCTCACTGCCCCAAGCTTTCCCACCACTTTGAACACAGCAGTGGGGAAAAGCTGAGGGCTTCAGCTCAGCCTTGGGCTTTAGCTCTGCCTCAGGTTGTGCTCTGTCCCGAAGGAGGAGGACCTCCGGCCGGCGTCCTGCAGCCCACAGCTGTCTGCCCAGGCAGGGAGCCCAGCACGGACTGGTCAGGGCTGTCAGAGAGGTTCCTGTCGGCAGGCTCTGGGCCCGCTCTGACTCACACGGAGAATCTGCCCTCTCCTCTATGCTGTGCCAGTTTACCTGGCAAGGCACCATGAGTAATGAGGGGTCATTCGCTGCACGCAGGCAGACCAGGTGCCGGAGGCCCCACCCCGCCTTGAAGATGGGCCTTGAGAACGTGTGCATTTTCTTTCAAGGTCCTGGGGCCAGTCCTCTCGGACGCCACAGGACCGGGACCATGAGTTACACCCAGGCTTTCCTAAGGACCTAGGAGCCATTCTTTGGAAAGCCATCAACAAGCACAGGGTTTTGAGGAGGAGGGACCCCGATTTCGGGCAGAGCCACAGCAGACAGGAACCCAGGGACCAACCTCCTACCACTGTCCTCTTCCTGAGGCCATCCGAGACCCCCACGCCTCCCTCCCTCCGAAGACTCAGCATCCACTGAGCAAAACCCGCTCTCCCCGCCTGGACAGTCGGCAGTCCTAGGTGGATGCGGGCCTTTATCAGTGAGCACAACGGGCCGTGTCAGAGAAGGCGATGGCCTCCCTACCCGCTCTCTCCACACACTGTGACACCGAGTATTTCAACACCAAATTACTGTCGGAAAACTTCAGGCATGAAGTAGGAAAGACAGTTTCATACCTCAAATAGTTTTGACACATTTTCCACATACTTCCCTATGCTTTTACTTGACAGTTGACACGCAAATTTCTACACTACTAAGTTTGCTAACCAGTTTTCAGTTTCCGGTTTCAGAATTTTTTCTTTTTTTTAAAGACAAGGTCTCATTATGTAGTTCAGGCTGGCATTGAACTCACTAGGTAGCCCAGGCTGGTCTCAAACTCACAGCACTCCTCCTGCCTCAGCCTCCCAAGTGCTGGAATTACAGGCATGCGCTCCATGCCCAGCCTTTGGTTTCAGATCTGAAGGATCCAAACCTCACTCACCAGCACCCTCCTGACTGGCAGTCCGCACTGTCCGGCACTGTGTGGTCAGGTGGTCTTACTATTACTCTCGATGCTCTCATCAGGAGGGAGTAAGAAACAGCAGACGAGCATGGACGTCGTCGCCCTGGCCAGGGAGCCCCGTGTGGGAAGGCCTGGCTCGGCTCCCCCATGGAAGTCAGCTGCCTTATTTCTCTATCCTTCAGCTGCCTCGCCTGTCGGAGAGGCCCCTGGCACATCCCCGCCTCCCTTGGCTGCCCTGCAGAATGAAGGATGGATGTGAGGAGACAGCACCGGGCACTGAAGTCCTGTTGTCCTCTTCGGCTGTTACTATCATCCCCCATCAGGTCTTGTTCCCGCCCGCAGTGAGCCCTGCCCCACCCGGAGCTATCACAACTCAGGAGCAAGCACCCAACACCACGACTCAGAGGACGTTTGGTCTGGCTCACGTTCTTGATCCATCCCCGGCCGGCTCCAAGGTGGGAAGTCACGGTGGCAGGGTCTGACGGAGGACAGCTGCTCATGGTGTGGCCGCAGGGACGCAGAGAGTGAGGGGAGGAGCCCGGGGAGAGGGACATAGGTCCTTCGAGGCCACACCCCCAGTGACCAGCTCCTCTGGCCTTGGAAAGCCCTGCCTCTGCGTGCACGAGACATGGAGATCTAAACCATGACATTCCACCCAGCCCCCAAAGGCTCGTGTTACCTTCATCCAAAATGCCCTTAGTCCATCTTTAAGAGGCACCAAAGCCTTACTTCCAGCACTGCTAAAAAGCCCAAAGCCAAAGTCTCCTCTGAGATGCAAGACAAACTCTTAGCTATGAGCCCCTATAAAAATCGAAGAATTACACACTTACCTCAGGGTAAACTTTCCCACTCCAAAGGGAGCTACAGGGGATAGACGCCAACAGGACCAAAGCAAGACCCAAGCCCAGCAGGGCAAACACTCAGTCCTGCAGTTACATGTCCCGCCCCTGGGGCACAAGAGGATGAGATGGGACAATGGGCTTGGCTGGCCCTGCCCCATGGCCCTGCCTGCACGGCCCCCATGCCTCTCGCTGGGCAGGCCCCTCTGCCTGTAGCCTTCCTCAGCAGACATTCCACATCCCTGGCTTTTCCAGCATCCTGGGGTCACCACTGCACTTTCAGCTATGCGCCCACAGCTTCACACACTGTAGGGACCCCAAGGCTTTCTTCTCAAATCTGGGCAGAAGCCTCCCTGAGCCCACGTCTCTTGCATCCTACATGCCTATAAACCCAGCACCATGTGGAGCAGTAGCCAGGCCCCACTGCACCATGGCTACTGAGGCCTCTGAGTGCCTGGAGAGCTGAGCTTCAGGAAACTCCTTCTTAGCTGGCCCTAATGAGCTACATTCCCTGGGGCTCTCTTCTCAAAGCAAAGTCTTTTATATCCTTGAGCCAGTGAGGGTAGGGTCCCGCTGACTTCTGTTGTAGCCATGAGGCATCTTTCCTATTGTCTTGATGTAAAATACTTTGCTTCTTTTTAAAGCTAATCCTTTCAGCAACAAAATTCTTCTGTGCCAAGACTTTGCAGGAGCTTCCTTTCAGGCCACTAGCAAAATTTTTCAAGAGATTCAATTTGGATTTTTGCTCTTGCTTTTCACTGTAAACCTTGCTAAAAAGCCGGCTGCAGTATCCAGGCTACAGCATGAATGTTGAGCTCCCTCGATATTTCCCCTGCCAGATTAAGTAGTCCCCGACTCTTAATCTCAGTCTCCCACAAAGTCTTAGGATACGAACAAAATGTAGGCAAATTTTCCACCAGAGCATAACACAGATAGTTTTGAGTCCAACTGTCAATAGAGTCCTTGTTCCCAACTGAAATTTTTTTAGTCTAGTGTTTACATCTGCATTTCTGTCAGCATTCTGGTCTCCTGAGCTTGGACCAGAATCTCTCTATGAAGCCCAGCTTATGGGCATTCTAGGGCTTCCGTACCCAGCATCACCAAGGCAACCCCAAACCTTTCCAACCTCCTCTTCCAAGCCAGTTCCAAAGGCTTCTAAACCACATGCCCAGGTACCAGTGATAGCAACAACCCCACTCTTTTGGTACTAAAATCTTAAGTCACTTTCTTGTCATTGTGATAAATACCCAACACGCACAACTTAAAAGAGGAGAGGTTTCTTTTGACTCACATTTTCAGTCCATAGTTGGCTGGCTATAAGGCAGGAAGGCGCAGTGGAAGGGCCGGGGTGGAAGAGAGCTGCTCACAGCTGGGGAAGGAGACAGACCCTTCCAGGTCATGGCCCTGTGACCCACCTCTTAGGACGAGCCCTCCCTCCTAACAAGTCAGCTAGAGCACCCCCATGTTCCGTCACCTTCCAAAGGCCCCACACGTGAGGCTCGCGGGGCATCCAGATGAAAACCATCACATCTCACTTCACTCTGACAGCACTACAGCTGGCTCCCCCACACCCTCCCACTCCCAGCTAGCTGCTGAGTCAGAGCGAAGAAGCTCTGTGTTTCCCACCGTCCCCTGCGGGTGCCACTGTGCTCTGCACCCAGAGGGCCAGGGGCAAACACTTCCCGGTGAGCTCTGCCTCCATCAGTGTCCATTAGCCACAGCTCTCGCAGGGTCTAAGTGAACATCAGCGTCCATTCAACACAAAGTAAGCGACCTGGAGACCACCCCGGGCTCCTGAGTGCACCAAGCTTCATCTCCAGGAAGGACAATCGCAGTCACGACCGCTGAGGAGCGCTGAGAGCACGGAGGGTCTGAGATGGGCCCACAGCACCCCAGCTTTCATGCCGATTTCCTCAGCTTCCATCTCTACCCTCAACCTCTCCCCTGACCCGTGGCCGGCGGACTTGGACTGTTCTCTGCTGCTGCTACAACTGTATACCTGAGATGAAGCAATTTATAAGAAAAATAGTATTTTTTCAACTGCAGAGGCTGGGATGCTTGAGGTTGGCACCGGCATCCGCTGGGCACTGCCGAGGGGCTTCTCGCTGCATTGAGGCAGGGCCCAGGGCACCGCGCGGCCAGCAGGCACTCCATGATGACCCATTAGTCTAAGACTCCCTGGATCAGCAGAGCCCCCTGACCCCACTCCCTCCCCATTCCACCGTCCCACAGCCAAACACCACGGACAGAAGAATACCACCAATGCAGCCACTGAGCTTTCCACACGTGCAATCCGGGGGACACGTTCAAGCCACAGCATCTGCTGTCTTCACTCAATTTGTGGTGGTCTTGTTACTGTTGTGGTTGTTGTTCACTGTGTAGTCCAGGCTGGCCTTGAACTCACTACGCAGCCCAGCCTGACCTCACACTCACGGCCATCCTCCTGCCTCAGCCTCCTGAGTCCTGGAATTACAGGCGTGCTCCACCACACCCAGCCAGCTTCACTTCATTTCTAACTGGCATATGGAATGGAACAAAGCACAAAGGAAACCATGGGTTGTCCTGCCAGATGCCCACCTCTACAGCAGCTTCCACCGCACCAGTGAAGTCCAGCTCTTCCTGTCTCTGCAGAAGCCTAGGACACCCCATGAACCCGAGGCCACGCAGAAGCTCAGCAGTCACCCGGCCTCGGGCTCATCCAGAAGGGAGTGGTTACTTAACAGCAGCAGCTCCACTGCTCTTCCTGCCTCTCTCTCGCCCGCCACGGTCCCGTCTGCACAGCACCCAGTGTGCTTGTCCCAGGGTCAAAACACAGCTCGCCCAGCTCACAGTCCGCCATGGTCTCTCCCTGCAACCAGAATAAACCCCAAGTCCAGCAAGGGCACGACCACTGCTCAACAGGAAAGTCTGGGGCAAGCACCAGGTGGGGAGAGGACGTTGCTGCCCCCCAACTGCCAACAGCCCTTTGAGTTGTTTGGGGGGTTTCTTTGGGAGTTTTTGGTTTTGGTTTTTGGAGACAGAGTCTCACTATGTTGTTTAGACTTGAACTCACTATGCAGCCCAGGTTGGCCTGGAACTTTCAACAATCCTCCTGCCTCAGCCTCCTGGTGCTGGGATTAGGACAGGCATGTGCCACCTCCTGGCCAACTGTTTGGTTTGCTTCTGATAAGGCCCTGCAGATTAAACCACAAGGAACCAGAGTAAGACGTTCCCACGGAGCTGTGATTCCCACCAGGCGGCTCTGACCTGAACCATTCCCACCTGCTGAACACTGGTGGCACACGCATGACTGTCCCACAGGCTGGCATGACATAGACCCATTGGGTCGGTAGGTATAAGCCACCCAAGGGGACAGTCACACATGTACCGCAGCCTGTGGGGACATATTAAACCAGCCAAAATCCACTAATCAACTGAGACCTGGAGAGCATTTCACTCAGGGTGATTTCATTTGTAATCTCAGCCCTGCGTTCTCCACCCTGGAGGACTCCGCTGACCCTCCTCGAAACCGCAATGTATGACTGAGCGTGCTCGGGAGCATGCCCGCCGCTCCCGTGGGAGCCTTCCCCTTCGAATATTCATCAGTGACTCAGTAAATGCCCAGGTTTCCTCTCTCCAGGATGGGCGCTTTGCGATCCCGAGCTCTCACTCCGGCTGCCAGTAACCGCATGCTTCTGACTCTCCCACCTCTGGCCTTGCTGAGCGGCTCCAGACCCTCCAGGAGGTGGACCTGCTGCGCTCAGGGACAGGCCGGGTGTCCAGCCCCAGGGGGGCTCCTCCTGGTCCCCTCCATTCATGATGATCCCTTCGTCCAGGCCTGCATGATCAGTCTCGATTCCGGGGCATCTTCTCAGTCTCCTCCACACCCTCGCTCCCACAGCTGTTCCTCCTCCCGCTGTGTTTCCATTGGTAGACCTGGCTTTTGTGGATGCTGCCAGGTGTTCTGGTTTTTTGCAGAGCTGGGGATGAGCCCAGGATGGAGGTAGTCGGGCAAGCCCAGAGCTCCACCCACAGCTCAGGCCACCCCTCGGTGAAGGGGGAAATTAAAATTTTTAAATAAGAACCTACCCAAGATACCCGCCAAGACCAAGCAGACATGTCCAGCAGGCCCAACAACAGAACATTCCTTCCTTTGCATAAACCCCTGTCTTTACTACTTTTGTGTAACTGATGGCCTTGCAATGTAACTTGAGATATTTAAATTCCCTTAGCAACCCATGATGTCACCCAGCCCTCCAATCAAATGGGCCAAACCTGACTTTGTACCTCCCTGCTTATCCTCCCTACAAAGACCCAAGACCTAGCCAGGCAGGGCTCTGACAGAGAAAGAGATCCCAGTCAGGCCCACAGGTGTAAATAAACTGCCTCCTAAACCTTCTCGGTGTCATTTCTTCCCATGGTGTTTCTTCTAACACTGGGACACAATCACACCGAGATACTAGCACTGAGGAAAAGCAGAAGCTAACTTTCCTGTGATGAATGGCCAGAATTTGGTTCTTTCCAAAGCTGGGGTGGGGGGGATTTTAGAAACAAATCCTGGTAAAATATCAACCATACCAGTAATTCGCTTACAAGACCCATCAGTACTGGTAAAAACTTTCCGAGCCTGAGATGAGGCGCATGATGTCATGGAAGAGACTCCGCGGAGAGGAGGGTCAGACACCCCTAACTGGGTA